TGAACCTTGATTTCTAAGACGCTCTAATTGTGCTGGGCATTGTTTTTCTTAGTGTTTATGTAACTGCCAAGTAAGATGAACAAATTGTACAAGCTCTTGAACTGGGAGATTTGCTAAGGCCCTAAGTGAGCCAGTAGCAACAGTGCTATATAACTGGTTCCGTCCCAGATGTGCATTCATGCACCCTCACCCGAGTGTACTAGCATTTCAGTGTTTGCATGGCTGTACTCATGACATAGGCGTGTTCTTAGTGGCCCCTGAGAATTAGGGAATGCGTTTGAACAGATGACCCTCCCCATGCCCCTGTCCTAACTGAAGCTCCATTTTGCCCGTCTTATGTATCAACAGCATTATCATCTTGGAAAAAGGTCTCATGAGATGTGGTGATTTGTGCTTACCGTGGCAATCTGTGGAACACTAACTGGAAAGCAGTGGGTGTCTGCAGATGAATGAATCCTTGGCTGCAGTGAATTTTGGCTTGTGCCAAAATTAGGTTTCAGTGGTCCAAGTATGGGTCAAATCTGTACTCTGTCTGCCAGACTGTGGAGCAGGGCGATTGTGGTGGGACAAGAGAGACGACAGTACATCACAAAGATAAAACAAACTGAGGAGACTTCTCATTCAAAACCCTGATACTGTGTTGTTGTGTAGACAGTCATAACGTCTTCTGTGTGGTCCCAGACCGAGCCAGGCAGAACACTGTCAGCCCCTGGTACCATGTTTTTCCTTAGGCTGCAGGATAATGACCCTCAGATGGACTCCAGAGGAGAATAGCCTGTCTGTGCTCACTGCTGGGCCATTCTGACTCCTGCCTTGAGCTAACACCGCCACCCAGTAATGTAGGGGCTACCCTCACTTTTTCTTTACTCCTAATGGAAATTTTTATATACAGAAGTATATGATACAAATGTCCTAACTTCATCTACCTATATCTTTATTTAAATCTCACCCCTCCCTCTGCCTCATTGGCCTTGAGCGGGTTGTGAGCTGGCTTTTGTCCTGCTTGACTTTGCTTTCTTGAGCAGTTTGTTTCTTCTGCACAGTCTTCAGCAGAGTCGCTGGGGGACAGTGCATCCAGTGCAACGGCCACTGTGCCCGAGATGGGCAGTGTGGCCCAGACGGGGGCTCCCGCTCTGTTATATGCCTCTGTGCCTGCGTGGGCCGTGTGGCCAAGACGGGGGCTCCCACTCTGCTGTAGCGTTACAGGCTATAAGGCAGCAACAGGTATTCTCCACTGTACTCCCTTGTTTCATTATAGCGAATGTTCCCTCTGAGCTCATAGCTAAGTTGATGCTCTGGGAGTATAAAGTGTACTGCATGTAAAGACAATGTGTAAATTGTTTGCGCTGATGCATGTCCGAATGCTAATATTCTAGCTGCAGCACTTTCTCACCGAGTTAGCTTCCTCACTGCAGTAGCTGAATGCCTGGCATGACCTCACAAGGGCAAGCCACTCAACATGTGCAGAGGTGGAGGGGCGCTCACTGTGGTCCCACCTGTACCTGAGGAGCTATGGGCAGCTGATGGGAGGGAGAATCAGTTTTCTTCAGGGGCGTGTTCCCTGTTCCGCTGACCTTCTTCACATAGGTTAGTTACACCCATGCACATTTTGGCAGCACTGTTTTCAGACTTGGGATTATTTGGAGAGGGACATGAAGTAGGAAGAAAGACATGGTGGGGGCATTCTCAAGGAGCCGGAAGGTATATGAACAAAATAGGTTGTTTACATATATGCCATTCTCAATGAATAATGTTTTAAAATAATTTAAGTAAAACTTGAAGGAAGGTTTATTTGGTTCTTAGTGCCATAGGCCTCAGTCGTTGGTCCTTGGCGCCCTTGGTTCTGAGTCTTAGGACAGGACCAGGGACTCCATGTAGCCTTCAAAGGCATCCCCATTGCCTCCTTCCTCCACCTAAGCTCATCTTCTTAAATTTCCAGAATAAGAAGTGCTGCTGGCTCTGAGCTAGCTGTTCAGCAAAAAGGTCACCGAAGCATTCTATTCACCCCACAATAACAACCAAAATTAGTTTATTTCTTTCCTTCTCACTTGATTAACCTGGATCTTGCTACATTTGAAATTTGTGTAGTGTTTTCTGTGTTTATCTAAGCGGGATGGCTGCTCATCCTTGGCATCAGTGACATTCGGCAGATGACTCCGTGGGTCAGTCTTGCTCTCTTCGGGCTGCCCAGCACCACAGTACTCCTGGCCTTGCTTGATGCATATCAGCTTTCTGTGCTGTGCCTGATGCAGCCTGGACCAGAAACTCCTTCCTCACATGGATGGAATCTCTCTCCCCTCTAGGCCTGTCACTCTAACATCTGCATGCACCTGCAGTGTAATTCCTATTGGTTTGGGTACACATAAAACCAAATGCTTTCTAGAAGAGAAAATGTCTGCTAACAGACTTATACCATCCAGTTTATTCATAAACCCTTCTCCCCTCTGCTAGGCCCTGTGGCAGTCTAAAACCTGCCCTTCTGGAAATTTCCGTACTCATTGGCTCGAAGTCATGGATACACAGATTATGCAGGTGTCACATGCTCAGTGCTGTGGAGAAGAGTGAAAAGACAGGTTTGGGGAGGAGGTTGCAGGGTGTTTTGATGCTGTCACTCAAGCGCTGTACTCCAGGACTCCTGCTGTGCCTCCTGGCCCCTAACTGCCTGCTTCCTGTGTCCTTCTAGAATACGTTTCCTTTGTGACCGGTTAGACATGTTTTCTAGACACTTTTCTGCATAGCAATGTTGAGGAGACTGTTGAAAAATGGCACCAGATCTGGGTCTCAGTTTGTGTGGCTCTTGGGGCTATTTTGGCTGTGTGCCTCTCTGCACAGTCTGCCATTGCACCTGTCTTCCTGGCAGCCTTGGCAGCCTTAGACCATAGTCAACAACTCTGAGGTCATTGTTAAACCAAGACTTCTGCATAGCATATATCCTGTAGGCCAGTATTTGCTCATAGTTTCTGGCCAATTCTTAGCACAGTGTGGGCTGAATAAGGTTTGCACCTGGTTCTGCATGTTCCAGCCAGTCTGGATTAAGTGTTCCCACTCAGAATTACTTACACTTCTGCTCTGTAGTTTTGTATGGAATACATATTATTGCTGGTAATTGGCTTCCTCATAAATGAGTAATTAATATATTTCCACAAAATACCACAAAAGGATAAGTAGAGGCTATCCCAAGTGGGACTCCTAGTGGCAAACCTGTGGTGATTTCTAAATGGTTAATAATTACCAAGTTTGAAATTCCTTATCTTCTTCTCTGTTTATAAAAAAAAAAAAAAAAAAAGCCTCTCCTCTGAGAGCTTCTAATCCCAGCACTGCAGAGGCAGTGTCCTGGGCAAGTTAGAATGTATAATACAAGGCCTCCGCTTTACTTCCATTTTGATAATTTGTATTTTCTATTTTAATTTTTTTCTTTCTTTCCTTCTTTTTTTTTTTTTTGAGAGAGATGGAATTCAGTTTTATTTTGTCCTCTCTGAAATGTTCATTAACACCACGGACTTGTAGGAGGAAAAGCCCTGTCTTGAGCCACCAAGCTTGAGTACCACGTACTTGTTAGAGGCTGCAGGATATGTTTTTGCCTCCAAGAGTTTAGACTTTTAGTATCAGCAGAGGGAGGAGCCCCTGGCAAACTGCTGGACATGTCTTCTGTGTTAGTCAGTATACCAGTCCATAAAGCGTATCTCAAGTTGAAATCTGTCAAGCTGTCAAAAGTGTCTACACTTTTGCAACAAGAGATAAAAGAATCCCAATGGTCATTTCACTGAGTCTTTCTCAGATGGGTCTCGTAATGGCACAGCTGCTTTACCCTCGAAAGCGCTGGCCCTCACCCCTGGTGAAGCCTCCTGGCCACTCTTCAGGTAGAGGTAGTTGGGATCTTCATCTGCTATCAAAAATAAGCCCCAAAATATGGTGTTTTCAGAATTTTTATTTCACCAGCCTGATTGGGAAATATATCTTCCAAGAAAAAAGTATATGTGTCCAACTGCAATACCCAAAAGATCCACAGTAATCAAGTTCACCAACAAGGAGAACCCCATGAGTACCCAGGGCAGAAAGGGAGCCTGGAAGTTTAGAAGACTAAAGAAGTTCATGCGGATGTGGGTTCCTTAGGCTCCACACATATATTGTTGTAAAGGCCTGGCCTAAAAAAAACTAAGCTCACAAACAAACCAAAAAGAGTTTAAAAATCCACCAAAAAAGAACATAAATGCAAAGTCTGCTGTCAGAGCCTCCTTCTAGCACTCAACAGTAACGCTATAGAAAAATCATGTTAAAATTTTTTTTTAATTTAACTGGACCAAAAAATAAGAAATTGGTGATTAGACTCCATATTTGAAAGTGCTTAAAAATTAATTCAGGATGGAAGTATAACTGAAGGTGTGATCAGTCCCAACTGCATGGCCTCAGTGATGAGGAAGCAGGTGGTAGTGTAGGCAGCTGACCGGCAGGGTCTGCAAGTGCTCCCGCCGGAGGCTCTGGAGGCTGTCTTCCCCACCCACCGCGCCTGCCCCCTTTCCCCTTCTGCCAGCATTCATTTAATTCTCTAAGACGCTTCAGGCTCTAGGATGGCATTTTGTGTCCATCAGTTGGCTAGAGTGTTGTGGTTTGTTAGCTCACAATATGGCTGCTGGTTTTGAGTCAGGTAACAGAAGCAGATCTGCCAGCACACAAAAAGACATATGGGGGTTCTTTAGACGCGAGGCAATCTGTCCTTCTTCTGGGGACCAGGAAAGGAGATGGGATTATAATCACTGTAGTGCTGAAGACAAGGGTCCTGTTTATTTGCTCTGAGATTGTCAGGCTCTGAAAAGCAGTGAATGGGGATGGCCCTGTTGTGCCCTGTCTGTGACAGTGCTATTTTTGCAGTGGCTCTGTCCATGTGTGTGCCTACATTCAGGTCAGTGATAACATATTTTTCTTTCCAATGTCACAGGCATTAACTATGAACTCTTTTTTCTTTTCTTTTTCCTTTTTTTTTTTTTTTTTTTTTTCTCCAGAACAAGCCTGCCTTCACCTATGTTTTCCAGAAATGACTTCAGCATCTGGAGCATCCTCAGAAAATGCATTGGGATGGTGAGTCAACTTCTGTTTCTGTTTCCAGCTGCTACCTGCCTGATCGCACATCCTTAGGAAGGGAGTCTTGAGAAAAAGAACATAACCGTGTGGCCTAACAGTTGTGAAATACCCATGAGAGTAAAAAAATTCAGACTTACAGTAGGTTTCCCAGATAAGTCAGGGTCACTCTCTGCCATTTAAAGTGGGTTTTAAGTGACGTTCCTATAGGAAAATAAGGACATGCTTTTCCCCTGTGGCTCACCAAGTTGGTCTTTCCCAGACACCACCTCAGAGAGTCTCTCCAGGAACAGACCACACTAAGTAGACTCATTCAGCTTGGCTTCTGTGCAGGACCAGCCGTGACGCCCTGGCTCTGAGGGTGGGATGTTAAATGTATGGATCATGTCTGAGCTGCACTGTCAGGGCAGGGGAGTCTAGTGTGGGAGAGGGAGGACAGAGGCAGAAGTTCCTCCTGCATTGCCTCCTGGGTTCTCTTGAAGGTACAGGTCTGCTCCGCCACCGGATGCTAGGCCAGAAGTCTCTTCCTAGTATAGTCACCTAGGGTGATCCTAGCAGGACCACCAGGACTGGTGATTACTGAATAATGTGGGTGCCAGGGACTCAGCCTGACCATTGCCCTGTCAATGCTGCCATGCAGTGTGCCAACTGGATGCTCCAAGAACCTTCCCTGCACATGCGGTTCTGATGTGGAGTCTTTTTCAGCCACTCCTAGCTCTCCCACATTCTCCTCGTGTTCTTTTCCTCTGAGGTTGGGTACTGTTAACAGAGACTTCCAAAGTGCTCATCCTAGAAACAGTCCGTTGAAACCAGTGTCTTCTGAATCCATCACAGAATAACTCAGCAAAGCTTTGTGAAGCTGTAATTTCATGTCAGCCCTGCCACTCCTTGCGGTGAAACCTGAGCAGAGTGGCCTCCCGGGTCAAGTTGGGGTACTAGCTTACACTTAAGAGATGTGTGCAAAGATAAGTAACTTACACTAAATGTATAAATATCTGACAATAGAATAGTGCTCAAAACACAGGAGCCTTCTATCACCAGGAATGCCAGCTGAGAGTCAGAAACTGGGGCAAACATATGGCAAATATGTACTTAAGTAAGACGAGGATGATACACCCAACTAAGCTGCCTGCTAATGCAGGGTGCTTGTCACTGACTTTAACAATCTCTTTGTAACTGAGAATTCAAGACAAAATGTTTTTCTCTGCAATATTTCAGACCTTCAGGAGACAATACCTTTGTCATCTAATGTTTAGTTGTGTGTGTATGTGTGCTTATAAAATGAAAACTCTGGTAATGATAATCATGAAAATAATCAATCATGATAATCATGAGAATGATCACGATAATCATGGGAATGATTATCATTACCACAGTGATTTTTTTATAATGATTTCAACTCATTAAATTGATCTCATAACTTGCTGATAAACCAAAATTCATGGTTTGAAAAAACACTGTTCTGTGTTCTTATTAGAATCAATGCCACATCTGCCTTAAGACTATGTGGGAAAGGAGTTTGTATGAACACATCCTGTGTGGTTGGTCTTTCTGAATATGACAGAAAATGTAACTTTTTGTAAGTCTCTTATCTGAGCCTGTCTCCTGTCTTAGCAGATGTCAGGTGCTGAGGTGGTATCAGGTGGTAGATGTTTGCAGAAATGACCAACCATGTGCCTGTTTGTCTTTAGCAAGTTCCTGTCGACATTAGAACTGGTCTTTCTGAGTTAGGAGATGATATCACATTGGATCAAGCCTGTCACTTCTCTCCAGGACTTGGCTATGTTTTTATTTTTAGGTACAGAGCTACCTGTACAAATAAACACTTTGATAAATAAAGTAAAACAAATACAAACAGCTGTGTGAGTTGGTAGAGCTCTGTGGAGTGTTTTGAAACCTGTCTGTAGATCTGGCTGATGAAAGCGTGGACAGAGAGCTGCAAGGTGACCCTGCTGACATTCTAGATTGATTAATGTGGGCTTAAGGGACATCACCAGCATCTGCACTGTTCTACAGGTGCCGAGGATGGAAGGATTGCCTCTCCTAGGCAGCAGGAGGAGTCAGGAGGTGGAAGTGCTGGCCACCAGCAGAGGTGGAAGTAGAGATATCTATCCTGCAGAGTAGTGCGAACAAATGGTACTACTATAGCTAAGTTTGGATTTTTCTGCATAACTCACTCTCATATACACCTATTTCACCCTGTCCCAAAGAGAACAGGTCAAGACTTAGAAAACAGTAGTATTCACACATTTCGATATTCTTAAAGAATTTCTTTAAAAGTCTTTTACTTTGTGCCATGATTTTGTTACCGTTACTATCAATCGGAATTTGAAAAGTCATGTGCACGCCTTCAGCCGTCGTATTTCTTCTCTGAGCACTGGCAGTCTCTTTGTTTGGCAGTAAGATGTTGGTTTTGTGGTTAGTTGGTTTCTTTCTCGAAATGGGACCTTGGTATGCAGCCTAGGCTGGCTTTGAACTCTGAATCCGTCTGCCTCTGCCTGTTCTGGGGTTAGGAGCAGAGAAAATGTGCCTGCGTCCTGTCTGACCCATTCGCACTGCCCACACTGACCGAGTGTGAGTGCCTCAGGCACCAGCGTCACTGCTGAGCACTAATCTGAACTCCTCCCTAATTAGGGCGTGCTCACACAGTAATGTGTGGTGTAGTTGGAAATACAGGTTTTAAAACTCACAGGAGGCAAGGGTAGGCATTTCTGTGAACTGGAGGCCCGCCAGGGTTACACAGTGAGACTCTGTGTCCAAAACTAAGATGAAATAAGACCCACAGGAACTACGTGTGTGCTAGGAATGGTAGGGGTCTGACTTTGACGAGTAAGCAAAGTCCCTGTGTTGGCAGTTCAGGCACTTACACCCTGTACACAGGTACTACAGCACCTCCACAGCAGGGCTCGCTATCTCTCCTTCCCCTGCCCCTAGGACCCCATATTTTGCTTTGTTTCTAAGAAGTATAGAATCTCACATTTCTCACACCTATGTAGTCCTTCTTTTCCTTTTCCATTTTGTTTTAGATAGGATTTTGTTAGCAAATATGGGATTGATTACATTGCATGAAATGAACACTTTGTATAACTAGAATTCCATACAAATCTCTTTGTGATTAAAGCTTTCATTAAGCAGTGCCCAGCTTCCCAGCACTCCCATGGCACTGGCTCTTGGAAGCTCTTGCTCTATTGTCTTGTCCGAAGGTCTCCTTCATCCTCTGCCCCCTTCTCCTGTCCCTGGTTTCTGAGGCTTTGTCAGCAGGCTCACGTGTAGGTTTAGCTTTCGGAGTACTCATAGCCTACAGAAACCGGCCTCTGGGCCTGGGCACAGAGCCCTTGCCCTCACTGCAACCCTGTCTGCATTCCCTGTGTTCACGGCCCTGCCTCCGTAGTGTCTGATTATGGTAAGAGATGACAGAGGTCTGGTTTATGATGAATGGTGACTTTTAAAATGAAAATTCTGTAGTACTCTGTAGGGCTCTGTGGAGTCTACTACCACAGAGAGGTACTTGTTGCCATCATTTGTTGATCAAGTACACAAGCAAGGCACTTTCTAATAGTTCAAAAGCATAAAGCTCTACTTCCCTTAGTCTTAGTACTTCTAGTCTTTATTTCCTACAGAAATTAATTAAATTGCATTGAACTAATTTTTGTCTTTGAAAGTATTCTATTGATTACTTTGTATTTCACTGCAACAAAATGTATCTAAAATGAATGTTAACTTGGCTGTAAAGGTTTAACAGCTAAATGTTTCTTTGTGATATTTATGATTATAAATAGTATATCAGTGATAGCTGTATGGGTGAAACATTTGTATAATGTGAGCATAAAATGTAGAATGCTGTTTGTGTGTGTGTAACATGCCCTTGTTGCAGTTAGACTTGCACATCTGAATGACCATTTCCAACTGCAAAAATGAAAGTAAAATTTTAGGACAGTTGTTATTTTAATAGACAACAAGATTGAGAAACCCTTTGCACTTTAATAGACAGATGGGAGTAGGAGTTTGTGGGATTTTTAATATCTAGAATTGTCATTCAGTTCTTTGTCTCTTCTCAGATATATGCCAAAAAAATTGAGTGCATTATCAAAAATAATTTTATGATCTATAAGCTGACAAATCAATTAAGAATTATTTCATTGTTTTTAAAAATAAAACTTTGGAAAACTACCAAAGAGGGTGTGGGCCCCTCCTGTGACAGCTGGGGCCCTCATGGTTTGGGGGATGTCACAAGAGGCTTTCCCAGGGATCTCACATGTGCACAGTTCTTTGGCGCTGTATAAGGGATTAAAAACTTTAGTTTTCCCCCTAAGCATACCTTTGGCAATTTGTACTTTTTGACGAAATGGTTTTGTGTAACCTTGGTCTCTGAAATACGTGTTAGTGACTTTTCCACCACTATGACAAGTTACTGATAAAAACGATATGAGGGAGAAAAGCTTGGGCTTCCTGTTCAAGATGCTTTAGTGAAAGCTTGGCTGGACCCTTAAGAGGCTGGAGAGAGTAGCAGAGAAGGTTCTCATGGAGGGCAGCCAGAAAAGAGAGATGAGATGGGTCAGGGACAACCATCCTGCAAAGGACTCCCTCTTGGGAGCTGCTTTCTTTATCCAGGCATCATATCCCACCTCCTAAGTATGGCCACCAGGTTTGGAACCCACCAGTGAAGTCGCCTCTAGCTGCTTGTGTTCACCTGCCACTGAGCAAGCCTTCAACTCACAGCCACACCTCTCTCCCTCAAAACTGTGTGTTTACCTGACTAGCTGGAGAGGTGACAAGGTGGGAGCCCTGTGTGCTATAAACACTGGCTGATAGAACAACTAAGTAGTAAAGTGAAACTTGACACACACACACCCATCTTCCTAGCAGCATGATCTGAAATCAGCGTCTTCTAGAAGAACTGTCAGGAGTCACTCTGCTGGTACACAATTCCATAGCTCCTGGGGTGCAGCGGATGAGTGGTGCCTGGGATAAAGAGGCTGCTCCTTCATATGAAGCTCTGAGGGCTTTCACACACAAAAAAATGTTTACAGTAATGCATGGTGTATATGGGTGTTTACAGTAATTCCAGGTGAGGGTGTGTGTCTTGTATTTTCACTTTGTAAGTGGTACACATGAAAGGGGACCCCTGGGGGGTCACCTAGCCCAGGTGCTGCCCCAGGCCTGCTGGAGCTGAGGAGACAGTATCCATGGAGTGAGCTATCAAAACAAATGGCACGAGAAGACTGGGGTTGACAGGCCCAGCTAGAGCCACCCTCATCCTTTCACATCCCGTCCTATCTTTGCCCAGCCAGCTCATAGCACATTGCAGCTCAGACACCATGCCCCAGTCACTTAATTTTATTCATTTTTTCCTTTAGCCTTTCCTGTGTTTTCTGTGCCATTTTCCTGTTGATATTACTAAGGTGCCCTGTGCAGTTGGCTTAACACCCAGATACATGTCACTCTCTTGCCTGGCTAGCTCTATCTCAGTGCATGTCTTCCATGCAGCCTTCACATGTCTGTGAGGGTCGAGGCCGGGCTCAGATGCCACCAGAACAGCAGTCTGTCTCCAGAGTGCCATGCAGTGCTCTAGCTTACTGCTCAGGGCACTGCTGATTGTGCATTCAGTCGCTAAGGCCATCTTACCTAATGACAGACTACTAAACACATGAACGACTTCTTGACAGGAGTGGGGAATGACTGAGTGGCACTACATTAGAACATGGCAGTTGACCCTTCAAGGCCTTAAATGTAAGGAACATGTCATCGCCACAGTCTTCATAGCTGTGGGAAGCAAAGGCGGCATGGAGGAAGGATCCAAGGACAGCTTCACGTTGCATCTTCTTCCTCCTAAGGAACATCCAAAATGGCTGCCCCATCCCCCAACTGTTAGTGGAGAACTCAGAAGCCCATGGAGTGCTCAGGTCACAGCCTGCTCATGAGTGGCTGCCTGGGTAACAGGGGAGAAGACCTACTCAAAAACCTAAGGTTTCTCTTCATAATCCACATCTTAGCCATTTGCACATTTAGGTGTCAAGATGGTAGACTTTCTGCTTAGAAAATATTTTTCTCTTCAGCTGAGCTCAAACTAGCCTTGCTTGTGTATGGTGCTAGGCTGAGGAAAGAGCCTGCTTTCTTTCTTTCTTTACAGTTTGTCAGCTGATGAGCAATTCCAATTAGAAGTTTTTGTTTTTTGTTTTTTGTGTTTTTTCTTTTCAGTTGCGTCATTGCTTGCTATTAATTTGCGTGGATAATTTTAAACTTTGTTTTAGCTGGGTCACAAGGTAGAGTTGCCCGAAATAAATAGTTAATTTTTCCAGCTGACTTCAGCTCAGTGATAAAACTGTTCCAGCTAATGTTTCTTCCTGAAGCTTGATCTTTGGGATACATGTTTTCCTGTCTCTGGGACATACACACATGCTGATTTGTTTATACAATAGCTAGAGGATGCCACAACAGGTTTGCTGGATTAGAAGCAGCAGTATATTTGAATCACCAAGGACTAGGAGGGATGGAGGGCAAAGGTACATTGCATCACTGTTTCTTATTATCTACTTAAGCATTGTAAGTTTTGGAAACCAAAATAAGTGTAAGATTATTTTTAATTAATTTCAGACAGTGAAGGAAATAAATTTGCCGGCCAGTCGGCAAGCTTTAAAATAGCTTGCTGTGTGCTCTTGAGAGTTCAGGGCTGTCGTAACCATCTGGACTAGGAGCACACATTTCCATTTCCCCTCCCCCACCCCTGTGTATGTGTATGTGTGTGCCTACCAAAGAAAGAATTTGGATGTCCTGTTCTATTATTTCCTGCCATATTCATTTGAGACAAGGTTTTCTCACTGAACCTGGAGCTACACTGGCAGCCAGCGAGCCCCTGACCCTCCTGTCTGTGACCTCCACAGCGCTGGGTTTCAAGCATGTGCCCAACCACATCTGGCTTTTTACATGGGTGTGAACTCAAATCATCTTTTGAGGGACTCCCTGCAGGAGTCAGACAGGGAAGCAAACCTTACGAAGAGATAAGAATGAAAGCCCAGTGCAGACTGACTTTGTCAACCTGGATGAGACTCCAGGGAGTCTAACGCCAGGTGGTTCGTGGTCAGCATACCAAAACACAGCACAGTTTGGGGGAAAGGCAACAGTCAGTCCAATAAGTCCAGTTCCAGGTACACAATAAAGCTTAAGATCTGACTACACAGAAACTCCTTTACAAAGTAAATATGGACATGAGGGCGGGTTCTATAGCTAAAAGGCCTAGAATCTAGTGCGGTCTCCAACCAATAAAACAGCATAAAGGTCAGCAGGCCATAAAGTATAGTCATCTCTCCTAAGGATGGATAATGACCTAGGAAGGAAAGAGTCTGGAATAGTCATCCTGAGGAATTAGGTGAGGTCTGTCCCTCTGTTGTTTGTTAGCTACCTCCATCCTCAGCTTTCTGGATGGAGTGCAGATATGTGGTTTTTATCTCCTCCATTGAGGAGATGCCCCTTGGGATTAACATTCCTGGTTCCCTTAGTGCTTCTCTGTGAGCACAAGACCCTCTGTGCTTGTGTAACAAACGCCCTAAACCACTGAGCCATCACACCAGCCCTATGTTTTACTTTTATACCAAGAATACCAAATGTTATACCCTTTTAAATGTAAATATATTTCCAAGTGGAAGAGGAGCCTGGCACATCTTAATTAAAACAAGCCTTGGTAGTTCTACTGTCCCTCACTTATCCCCAACAGCAACTCTGGGTTTAATAAGATCCTGGCTATGCACAGCTGAATCTTCTTTTCTTTCTTGCAGATTCCTTTTCTTCCTCATCTCCCTAGTGAGGCAGCACGAATATTCTCTTTAATACATTAAGCTGCTGCTTGTCTATTGTGCATTTTCTGGCTGTTTTTAAATGCAGTTGATGACAGTTTTGTGAAGGGTGTGTGTAATTTTAATTGTACAGGCCAGTAAGAAGCAGATGTAAGGGGGAGGCAGAGTCAAGTCTGGTGACATTCTTCCTGGACTGCACCTAGGACTGTTCACCTGGCTGAAGACTTTGTAAGGGACCGGATTGCCAAGGGAAAGGTGGATAGTGGTAGGAAGAGTTTGGAAAGGTCATTGAGCATTCTACACTACAAAGATGAGTTTGTCACATAATGACTGTTGGAAAGTACCCTGTGATGATCCTTGCTGGCAGTACAATGGTAAACAGGGTTAAAAGGTGGCACTTCCATGTTAGAGAGCCTTGTCCAGCCTGTGAGTGGGCTGAGAGAATGTAAAACCATTTTTTTAAATAGAGCTAGCCTTCTGAAGTCAGCCCACATTTAGGGGAGGTTTCTGTGCTCAGCAAAGCTCAGAGTCAGCTGAACATGGCCTCAAATTTAGAAATTACCTATAAACATGGTGTATATGACTAGATGGATGAGAGGCAGCCAGTCAGTTCTTTGGCTTAAGGTACCTTCTCTGAAGCGTGATGACCTGTTGATCCCAGAACCCACATGGTGGGAGAAGAGAGCCAACTCCTACCTCCTCGTGCATACTGTGGCACACATACATCTACATATATACCACTACACAGATAGATAGATGATAGATAGACGATAGAAAGATAGATAGATAGATAGATAGATAGATAGATAGATAGACAGACAGACAGACAGACAGACAGACAGATAAGGTTTTTTAAAAGATGGGCTTAGGTGCATTGAGATCTTCATGAGTTTATTTGAGCTGACAGTGATTCATGACTCAGGCAGCCTTGGGCCTCAGCTGGTCAGTATCCATGAAAAGTGTTGGAGGGAAAATTACTGAAGGTTGTCCTTGCTGGAGAGAGACAAAGAAAACAGAGTTGATTGATTAAAGTGGAGAGCTGTTTGTTAGTGGTTCTCTTGGCAGTTTCTGATTGGCTTAGGTTTACTTACATAATAACTCAAGGAGCCAGAACCACCTCTGCTCCCGCTGGTTAGCTTGTTGTTTGAGTATCAATATGAAGATGGTTTTCATGTCCCCACCACCTTTATCAACTTCCTTGTGCTGATCTGAGATAGAGTTACCACTGCTGTCAGCTCATGCTTATTACTAAATTGTGTATTCTATGAAGCCAGGAACAATGCTTGGGTGTCTGTATTTTCTTGTACTTCTAGATAGTCCATAATATAAGGTATTTGAAAAGAATTATGCAACTGGGCTGGTTTTAATTAGGTTTCTTGAGTTCGGCTTTTTTGTTGCTTCTTTTTCCGGAACACGTTATGTAAAGCAGCAGCAGATACATTGGCTGTGTATAACATTCATATAACAGTTTCCATTTCTTCCTAATAGGAACTGTCCAAGATCACAATGCCAGTCATATTTAATGAGCCTCTGAGCTTCCTTCAGCGGCTAACTGAGTACATGGAGCACACTTACCTCATCCACAAAGCCAGCTCATCTTTCGACCCTGTGCAAAGGATGCAGGTACGTGGCAAGCGGCCACTGGGAGAGGCGGGAATCTCAGAGACTCGTCTCTGACCTCCTCCCCCAACCTACCCACAGGCACACATATTCATGCACATGCAAACATGGCACAGATGTCCACACACGTCTGCTGCTGTGCAGCCCAGCTGGGGATAGGATATTCTCAAAGCTTAAGAGTCCTTTGCATCCAGTGCCCCTGCCATCCTCTGGGGATTGTCACTGTGGTGAAGACTGATGGGAATTTCAGGAACCACAGGTCCCACAACTTTACTTGGCTATTGGAAGCTCTTTCCAAGTGTTCAGTTGTAGAAAGTAGCATGTGATAATTGGGATAATTGGCATTTCTTATTTCAAACTTTATTGAGGATCTTCTCAAAAAGGATGAACATAGTCACAAACAGAGGTTTATGCCGAATGAATGGTCCAGTATGCATATTCATCAGGGCTCAAGTAACAAGAAATTGAACTTTTTAATTTTCAAAATAAAAGATGTTTGCATGATGTACATAGATGGTAAAACACAGGCCAAGTACAGTAGATACAGGGCTCTTCTGGATAAAGCAGTCTTGTTCTTTCATGTACATAAATAGTTTTTAACTTCATTGGTATCTTAGCCAGGGTTTCTATTGCTGTGATAGAACACCATGTCAGTAAAAATCTTGAAAAGGAAAGGGCTTATTTCAGCTTACAGTTCCATATCATAGTTGATCATTAAGGGCAAGTATGGTAGGAATCTGGAGGCAGAAGCTGATGCAGAGGCCATGGATGAATGATGCTTACTGGCTTGCTCCTTGTGGCTTTCTCAGCCTGCTTTCTTGTAGGACTCGAGACCACAGCCTAGGCATGGTCTCACTCACCATGGACTAGGCCTTCCCCATCAATTGTCAATCAAGAAAATGTACCAGTAGGGACATTTTCTCATTTGAGGTTCTCTCTTCCCAAATGACTCTAGCTTGTGTCATGTTGACATAAAACTTAATCAACAAAATTGGCTTTTACACCAATTAAGTTGTTCAGTTTTACAGCTCTCTTTCTCAATTCTAAAAGTATAGTTTTAACTGAATGCGTAGATTTTTCTTTGTCATCATTCTATGAATGAAGTAACAATTTTTACATTGTGTTGATTTAATTACTAACTAGGAGATATGTGATGTATATAAAAGGGGGTGAGTGTAAGTTAAAAGCAGGTGCTGTGCCATTTCATGAGGCTTGAACATCCACAGAGTTTGACATCTGGGGTGTGTGTTAGGGCTAGTCCCTCTCAAATACTGAGAGACAGTTGTGACTTAAAGTTTTTAAAATGTCAACATATTAGAAGTAACTGACTTAAAGGGTTTTTGAAAGTCCTTGGCAGAATTATAGCACTCACAGATATCATAAAAGCGGTGTCTGTGCATCACACTGTAGGAGGAGATCAGGGACTTTGTCATGATTGTACAAGCTTTCACGGTGACTTTAGAAAGTCATATTAACAGTCCAAACTAATCAAGCCTCTCAGTAATTTTGTCAGTCATTGTCTTCTGTGCAACTTCGGTTCCTGAGAGGCAGGAATGAAGGCTGCTAACCTTTCTGCTGCTCTGTTCCAGTGTGTGGCTGCCTTTGCTGTGTCTGCTGTTGCTTCTCAGTGGGAGCGCACTGGAAAGCCCTTCAACCCACTTCTGGGAGAGACTTACGAATTAGTTCGGTGAGGTTTTTTACTCTATTCTAGACAGCTGTTGAATGTGTGTGACTTACATAGATTTCTCAATGAAGAAAGAGGAGTATTTTGAGCATCCCTAAACAACCATTTGTAACTGGAGCACACTAATTATTTTGATGTCCATGTCTATGAAACTTCAGAAACTGTCAAAAAAATATAAAACAGACATGCAATATGCCATCATAAAAAACAATTACAAGGATTTCAGTGTTCTTTATCTTTCAGATTAACTATCCTCCATTTTTAGGTAGATCACATGACATGATCAGGTTTTAGGGTTTCTACTGCTGTGCTAAAACACAATGACCAAAATCGGCTCGAGGAGAAAAGGGTTTATTTAGTTTACACTTCCACATCACAGTCTGCCACTGAAGAAAGTCAGGTCTCTTAAGTTAGTGTTATTATTGCTATGATGAAACACCATGACCAAAAACAACTTGTGGAGAAGACAGTCTGTTTCACTCACAGTTCATCATCAAATGGCAGTGAGGACAGGAACTCACACAGGACAGGAACCTGGAGGCAGGAGCTGATGCAGAGGCCATGGAGGGGTGCTGCTTACTGGCTTGCTCCTCATGGCTTGCTCAGCCTGCTTTCTTACAGAACCCAGGACCCTTCCCCATCAATCACTAATTAAGAAAGTACCCTGTACGCTCTGCTAAAGGTCAGTCTTATGCAGGCATTTTCTCAATTGAGGTTCTCCACTCTCAGATGACTTCAGCTTGTGTCAAGTTGACATAAAACTAGCCAGCACACTGGGCAGAAACTCAAAATAGGAACCTAGAGGCTGGAACTGAAAAAGACCACAGACAAGTACAGCTTACTGGTTTGCTTGCTCATCCTGCCTTCTTAAGCTACCCAGGACCACCTCCTGCAGGGGCAGCACCGCCCACAGTGAGCAGGTCTGCGGGGCTCCCACAGCCATCATTCATCAGGAAGCTAGCCTGCAGACTTGCCTACAGACCAGGGTTATGGAGGCGGCTGCAGTCGGGAAGACAGTCAGGAGGTGAATCCACCTATTAAACAAACCAGCCCCCAGTGAGCCACTTCATCCATTAAGACTCCGCCCCCTAGAGCTCCCACAGCCTTCCAAAACAGTGCCACCAGCTGGGGACCAAGGTTTCCAAAAGAAAAGCATGTGAGGGGACATTTCACATTCAAATCATGGTCATAAGATTTATGCAAATCACCCAAATTCATATGAATGTTTACTTTAATACATACAAGCAGCTCTCTTTCCAGCGGCATTGGGCAAAGTAAGTTAGGGGATATTTGCATCATTACTCTGTTAGGTTGTACTGTAAATAAGTGTGATATTAAATATTGTTTTTCTTCATTGAACTTTTTTCTAAATATTTTAACGATGTGATGACAATTAGCTGCAATGATGCGTTTTTCTTCTTTCCTCTACTCTGAAGAGACGACCTTGGATTTAGGCTCATTTCAGAACAGGTCAGCCATCACCCCCCAGTTAGCGCATTCCACGCAGAAGGACTAAACAATGATTTCATCTTCCATGGCTCCATTTACCCCAAACTGAAGTTCTGGGGTAAGAGTGTAGAAGCAGAGCCTAAAGGAACCATCACCTTGGAGCTTTTGGAGTAAGTACTTGAGAGCCATTCTCTCTTGTGAATCCCTGCCTGTGTGCCTGTGTGTCTGCCCGTGCTACTCCAGTCAAGAAGCATGAATGAAACAGTGTTAAGTGTACACTTCCTGCCCTCAAATGAAAGCCTTTGTAAAGCAAGCCCATAGCCACTCTTAACCAGGCTGCTCTGGGTAAAAAAGTTTCCATGGTGTTGAATGTGTGTGGACCAGTTGTAAGATAGGTGGGGTTAACAGTTCTTACAAAACTAGCTGGCTGGAGATCTCAGAGCCCATGTTTTGTTTAAAAGATCCTTTAATTAAAGCACCCTGAAAAAAAATGAAGTGGCAGTTGTGTGACATGTTAGACATTAGGTTAGTTGGGAGCTCTCTTTTGCAGGACTAACTTTAAAGTCTAAGGCAATTCTAAAACTTCATATGTACTCTACTCCTCCCCCACCCCCACCTGCTGAATGGAGCTAGAAACCCTGGGCAAGAGCCACAAACCAACATTCTAGGACTCTGAATAGAATGTTTGTAAGGACAGGCAGTACAAACAACAGATTGGAAAGAAAAGTCAAACCCTCAAGACCAGCTTGGCAGTAAGATTCCTGGTTTTATATTTTTCTCCTTGTTAAGAGTCTGAGCAGCAAATTGCAAAATGGCATTAGGGGCAGACTGGAGAGGCTCCGGGAGACCCTCTTCTCTCTGTAGGGCTCCCCGAAGGGCCCCACATTGGGAGGATTGGAAGGCCTGCTTCTTTGACCTCCTAGCCTTTCCCAAAGCAAGCGCCAGGTCCTCTGGTGCTCCAGAGTAGGTGCTGCAACTCCAGCTACAGTAGCTGAAACTGAGAAAACTCAGCGGTCAGGCACTGGGTAAAGGTGCAAGCCCAACCGTACTGTCCCAGAGGCAGGTCCAGCTATCAGAAATAGAGCCAAAGCCCAGTTTAAGGGCAGAGGTGGTGTCCTGAAGCACAGAAGGAAGGGACCTTCAAAACCAATCCTTACACTTGGCATTCAGCCCAGATGGTACACCAAGGGCATTGAGATCTGAGCACTGGATGGCCATAGGCCAAGATCCTGCATAGCAGTGGGGGATGGATCTGAGGAGCCTACAAAGGCTTTGAATCAAAGCCCACAGAAGGAGAGTTAGGGCTCATGCTGTGGCATCATATTAATTGCCTTCCATCAAAACAGAAGTCAGTACTCTCCAGATTTAAAGAGAACAATAAATCACCCCAAACTCAAATATCCAGAAGATAATTCAGACTATTTGGCTTTACTAAGAAACTAAAAAAAAAGCAACTCAGCAGCTCACAGTGAAAGGGCAATCAACAGCCTCTAACCCCAGGCTGACCCAATGTTGTACTGAAATTTGCATCAGAGCTAGAAGTAGCTATCACTGCTGTTGCTGGGATAAAGGTGAACACTCAGATAAACAGAAGGGTATTCTAGCAAAGAAACTGAGGTATTTTGAGACATTTTAGTACTGAAAAACATAGCAAGAAAAACCCAGTAACCAGGACAGGCTCAGGAGCAGCATGAAGTCAGTGGGAGGTGGAGGGGCTGGGAACCGAGACTACCATGATAGGGGAATAAGTCAGCCATGATGCTGATTCTTCCCATTGACCTACAAGTGGTCTCCACAAAGTCTATCAGAGTCTGATGATGATGATGATGATGATGATGATGATGATGATGATGTGTGCGTGTGTGTGATGCATGTGTATTCCTGTTGACCTGTTCATGTGCATGTATGTGAAGGCTATCATCGTCAGTTATCTTCCCTGATCACTCTCTGCTTTATATATTTAGGCAGGGTTCCCCCATTTGAACCCAGACCTCACTGATTTAGTTGATCTAGTCAGCCAGCATACCCTGGGGCTGCCTCATCTCTGCCTCCTGCATGTGAGGATAACAGGAAGGCCGTTCCCGACTGGCCTTTTTGTCGGTGCTGGGAAGCAGACTCTGGTACTTATTCATCTAAGGCAAATGACTTTGAGCTTTCTCCTAAGCCCTGTGTGATTTTTTTTTTTTTTGTAGGCATAAAGGAGTTGATTCTAAATTGATATGGAAAGGGAAGTGAAATAGAACAACTAAAACTACTGACAATTTTGAAAAGGAGCAAAAGAACTAAGATGCTCTGAGGTGACCAGATTTACAGCTATCCTGAGACATATCGCCTGGTGTTAAGCAGGGAGGAGAGTCTGGAAATGGGCTCCATAGAGGCATGGTCAGTGTAGATTACAGACTATGAAAGGCAAACTATAAAGCTTTTGGGAGAACAACAGAAAACTTTGTGAGTTTGTATTAAGTAGAGATCTCTTACATAAACAGAGTACAGAAAGCATAGCACACAAAAGATTAGTTTAAAAACTCAAGTTGAAAGCTCTCTCTGAATTGCACTATTCAGTGTATGAAAGATAAGCTATAGACTGTTGGAAATCATATACCTAATGAAGGGTTGGTGCCCAGAATATATAAAGACCCCCTGAAATAATTATAACTTTACAAAGACCCAAAGCATTTTTTTTTCCAAAGTAAAGGATATGTACCATTATAAGCTTTAGCGTTTGGGTTGGTTAGTTGGTTTGGGGTAGACTAGAAGCACCTTTTCTGAGAAAGGCCCAATGGACTTTCATTTTTATTTTCTACCTCGAATTGTACTATTCATGTTTCACCAAACTTTTAAATGATATACGGCTTGAATATTCCTTTTCACAAAGGCTTGGGAGAAAACTATTCCATATTTAGGAGCCTTTAGACTTTGGAATATCTGTGTAGATCTTACCAGTTTAAAGAAAATACCACCTGAAAGTCCAGGGTTCAAAATGCTCTGAAATCAAAGGCTTTTTGAGATTTGTGTCAGTATACAAATGTTTCAAAGGTTGAACTTTTGAGTTATGGATATTCAACTTGTGCGTAGTTTATTTCTTAAAACAGTAAGAATGGGCAGCTAATACTTGCTTTACTCTGAGTTAGCGTCAGTGGTGCGTGCGTGCGTGCGTGGAGACCAAAGGTTGATAACAGGAGTGTTCTTCTGCCCTGTTTTGAGACAGTGTCTCTCAACGCCTGCCTGCTCCCGTTGTGCGGTTCAGATGTGTGCTGCCACACCTGCCTTCACCCAGGTGCAGGGCTTGGATTCAGGTCCTCACGCATGTACCGCAGCACTTTGCCCACTGAGCCAGCGCCCCAGCTTGGCCTGAGTGATGACCTGCAACAGAGTCATGTTTAGACAGAATGGCTCTTCTCACTGGGGATCTGGGGTTGGGGTTGTCTTGTAGACACAAGGAAGCATACACATGGACAAACCCCACCTGCTGTGTGCACAACATCATCGTAGGCAAGCTCTGGATTGAGCAGTACGGCAACGTGGAGATCGTCAACCACAAGTAAGGCGCTCCCCAGCCTCGCACGCGCTTCCCACCAGTCTCTTCCATGGCTCTGCTACCTGACGGGACACAGCTCCTGAGGAAAGACACAGGCCCCTTTCCATTTAGTGATAATGTCTATAGCATGTGATGGGAAGGAGCCTGGGCTCCAGGGCTGGCCTCCAGCCCCAGCCTGCTGCCCACTGTTTTTGCTTTGGCTGCCAGAGAGGGTAAGGTGGGAGGAGTGGAGTTACTGTGAAAGTTTCTGCTTCTGCCACTCATGTGCTGGGAGTGCTTGTGAGCATTCCCTATGGGCAGTGCTGATGGAGGATGGCGGCTGCCACCGGGAAGGCCACCGCTTACTGTGCTCCACCACTTCCTTGGCTTTGCGTGGTCACGTGAACTTAACCGTTTTTCTTCGCAGGACTGGGGACAAGTGTGTGCTGAATTTTAAGCCATGTGGTCTTTTTGGCAAGGAATTACACAAAGTTGAAGGCTACATACAAGATAAAAGGTAAGGTGATTTTTAAATGTTTTTCAGCATTGACTACAGATGATTATTTAGATATTAGCGTTAAGGTGTGCTACCTGGGAAACTGGCATTCTAATAGCAGTAAAGTCTTCTGCAGAAATACCTATTTCTTTAAAGGTTGGGCTTATAAAAATACAGTAACAATTACAGCACAACATGAGCGTAACGGTGACTAAACAACAGTTCCTCTTGATAGCAAGAAGAAACTCTGCGCTCTCTATGGAAAGTGGACTGAGTGCTTGTACAGTGTAGACCCCGCCACTTTCGACGCTTACAAAAAAAACGATAAGAAAAACACGGAAGAGAAGAAGAACAGCAAACAGGTAAGCACACTGTGGGTGGTGCCAGCCCCCGGCCTCCTGCATGTGTGCAGACCCTTCTGGAGCTGCCTGACCCTGGGGCCCGGTTTGGCTGCGCTGCTAGCACATGGGTTCTCCTGAATGGAAAACACCAGGCTTAAGCTTCTGATGGCTGTGGCAGTGTCTCACTTCTGTGTGGAGTGCCCACTTGATTGGTGTCTCTTTGGAAAGCTGGTGCCCATCTTGATGACACAGTAATGGGTTTTTCCTACTGTTCTCATGTGGTAGAGGTAGAAATGGTCCACATAGGGGAGCTTTACTCCGGAGTGATGGCTCACATTTGCTCTCAGTCACCACGTCCCTGATGTTAAGGCATCACAGTTCAGGCTGTTGACCCTGTACTGTTCTCTTCATGCTACACATTCCTGTTGGTGGAACATTTCTTTGTCCCAGGCACACAAAGGCTTGCTGCCTGGCCGCAGGCATGCTTCGGCCTTCTGCAGACTTGTGTCCCTTCCTGCAGTCAGAGTTGCTGAGAACTGAAGGAAGATTGTGCCTATGGGAACAAGAAATGCTTCACCAGGAGAAACAGGGACTCTGCGTGAGAAACCATCTCTGCCACCTGTAAGCGGTGCAGGCTCAGGTCATTCCCGTCCCCTGGCCCCTGCTGTCAACTCTAAAATAGGCGTCCTGGAAGCATCCCTTTGCTAGATGAGTGCTAGTCTCTGCAGGCCTCAGAACACTGTGTGTCCTTGTGAGATCGAAGTCCTTTTTGCTCCAAGTGTGCCCCTGTCTACCTGGCTCATAGCTCCATAAACATGCAGGCTCGAAGTTCTAATTCACACTCAGTCCCCCACTCAGACCTACCAAACCATAAAGCTGGGGCTTGTTGGTGTTTCTCCTTAAAATTCCTTTAGTTAGCATACTAAGCGATAGCTTTTCTTTTAGCATCGCCACACATACATAGCACATACCTGCTCGTATTTACTGCTGCAGCGTCCTCTTCTCATTTCTTCCTGCCCTTCCTCCTCCGAAGTAGCCCCACTCCTACTTTCATGGCGTGCATGGGTGTGTAACCTAGATCATACATGTGAGAGAAAATATGTGGTACCTGTCAAAGGCTGGCTTGTTTCTTTGCACATGAAAATCTCCACTTCTGCTCATCTCTCAGTTAATTCGTAGACATGAAAAGGTTTGAGAAGCTCTTTTTTTTTTTTTTTTTTTTTCTTGTGACTCTGTAAGTTAGGAGCTAGCCTTGGGCCCGAGGGCTAGTTTTGTGTATGGCTGGAGCACAAAGTTTTGATATGCTTTAGCCCATCCCTTCACCTGTGAGTACAAAAACCTTCATGTTCCTGCCTGCATGTTGTTCCTCTGCGAGGTGAACGTACTGTCTTTTACAGGAAACCAGAGTGGACTGAAAATACTCTCCTGTTGCATTCTTTGTAGAAAAGCAGCCTTCCCCTCAAGCTTCCATCCCTGGTTTGTGTTCTTCTGTCCAAGGTGCAGTTCCTTTCTGGGGCTGCTGCTCTTCCAGAAACGCTGTTCAGGAGCTTTTATTGGCATTATACCATACCTTGCTGCCTGTTCCACTGTGTTTTCACTGAAGGTGTCTCAACTGGAAGCTGTAGTTTTGTTAACTGAACTTTCTAAATTGTTGAGTTCTTTAAATCATTGGGTTCTTTATGTTTTCTGTGATGATGCTAAGGGCTTCTCATGGGTCTGATCAGCAAGGACTAAACATAGAGTGAGTAGCAGCGATCTGGCCCAGGGAGAAGTAAGCAGAGGAAACCACGGGGTTCTTCTTCACCTATTATTTTTGTAAGTTCTCCTTTTTGTCAGCTACATTGAGGCAGCCTGCTGGCTCTGTGTTGTTGATAAATTCAGTTATGTAAGCTCTCGTTCTCACATATATGCACACGTTGGCCTTTCCTCTCTCCTATGTACATATGTTGGCCAAGCCTTCAGTGTGTAGCTCTCAGGCTGTCAGGCTGTTCCTGTAGCACTCTGCATCCCAACCCTGAGCACTTCGAACTTCTTCAGTAAATATTCGTTTTGTGTTTTTAAAAGACTAGAAACTTTAAAAATGTAAAACACTGTAGTAAAGAAAGATAGTAGCAACAGTGCCTTGAATACAAATACAGTAACTGGAATAAGGTTCCAGATACCCACCATTTGTCCTTTCTGGCAGGAGAGGGACAAAACAGAGCATGCCCGGCAGTCCTGCAATGTGTGTCTAGCTTCGCCTGCGGTTGTATAGGCAGCCTGTGACCTCCCCATCCTGCCTCCAGTGCGCTGCAAGCCCATGAGCATCTCCTCGGCCACTTCTGCCTCAGGAGTTTGTGTTTGCTGGTTAACTCCTTACTGCCATGGCCTCAGGATTCCTCAGTATTCCAACTAGCTGAAAGCTATAAATCACCTTGTTGTTTTGCATTTGGGGGACTGGCCATGTTGCTTTGGAGGGCATGAGATGCTCTTTCCACTCATGGGTGAGGAAAACGTGCAGGGGTGATTGACAGTCAGCATGAGGCCCCAGGGATAACCCTGGAAACCACAGAAGCTAAGTCCTTTCAGATCCTCCTACCCTGGGCTGTGTGTCTACACACGCCTCAATCTCTGTCTGACCTTTTGGAAAGTTGTTTTTTGGACAAGGAGTTTCAGCTCTATTGTGTGTGCTGTGAGACCTCACTCAGTGTTCAGAGCACATAGTTGCCTATTTAAATCCTTGCTTGGCCTTCTAGACAAGCTCATCTGAGGAGTCTGATGAAATGCCAGTGCCAGATTCTGAGAGTGTATTTATTATCCCTGGAAGTGTGCTCCTGTGGCGGATAGCCCCGCGACCTCCCAACTCTGCTCAGGTGAGCCCTGGCCTGCTAACCATAGTAACTGTTTCACATCCAGCTTTCATGGTGCCCTTCCCCAGGCAGCAGAGCCTAAGGCCTGTCTCCTGCTGCCTCTCATCTGTCACATTCCCTCCTTTTCCAGAGGGCGCTTGGTCAAGCTAGGTGTGCTGGATAGAGCTTCACTGGGGATCTCTTTGACAGACTTTGGGGTGAGACAAGTTAAACAGACTGCTGCACTTGATCAGTGTGGGTCCTCCAGACCCAGCAGAACATGATTTTAATGAAGAAAACAGAATGGATGTTAGTATTCTACCGTGTGAGGCCTGCTGTGGTCTGAGTGTCCACTGGACAGTACAGATTTAGATGCAGGCCTTTAACCATGTCCTCTGAGAAAGGCTGACCAGCACCACTGCCAAGGAAGGTGCCACTCCCACATTAGTTGACCTCTTTAGGGGCTTTCTGCCATGCCTTGCTAGCTGTTAACTTGGTTTCTTGGCTGTTTCAGATGTATAATTTTACCAGCTTTGCCATGGTTTTGAATGAAGTAGACAAGGAGATGGAGAGTGTGATTCCTAAGACTGACTGTCGTCTTCGGCCTGACATCAGAGCCATGGAGAACGGAGAAATAGGTGAGTAGTCTCCAGCAGGGTGTGGTGCTCAGGGTTTAGCCTCTTAGAGTCTATTATGTTAAAATCCAGCGACTTCGGCTTTACATCTGGAAATCTGAGATCACCCTTACCTAACCGCAGATTCATTACTTGAGGTACTCCCTGTTAACTCACCGTACTGCATATGGCTAAAGATATATCAGTCAAAGCTTTAAACTGTAGTCTGCAAAGTTCACTGTATATTCTCAAAGTCACCTTGGAAGCCTCATAAAAGAGTAGGGCTTCCTCTTCAATATCACATTCAATCTTCAAATGTGAGCGTTCTGTTGTCAGTCAGTCTCAGAGGGGGCAGTATCTCTACAGCAGCCATGGCTCCAGCCTAGTGTTGGCGTGCACAGAACAGCCTTGGATGGGTACAGACCATCCCCTCGTGTATGAGCGCCATCAGGCTAAAGTTCTCATTGAGACTAGTTCTCCACAGAGAGACAGAGCAAATTGATTTTGTGAAATTGTTTGAAATCTCTGAGGTCTCCCTCAGAATTTTCAATAATTTCATTTTTACTCAGTTTTTCTACCAAGGTCTCATTTTAGCCTAACATTTGTGGCCTTAACAACAAACATGTTGTTTTTGATCATGTTTGATCAAAGCATATTATATGCATGTATGAAATTCTCAAAAACAATAAAAGGTAAAAAAAAAAAAATATCAGACTGTCAGATGCCAACTCTTCCTATGACTAGTCTAGAGTATGTGTGAATATTTTCTTTTAATCTAATTAACTTAGTTTGCACTGGGAGGTGATCCTGTTTACCACATATGCTTGGTAAATACCCAACTATAGGGGTATAACTCTAGCCCTTTTATTTTTTGAGAAAAGGGTCTTACTAAGTTGCCCAAGCTGTCCTTGAACTTGGGATCCTCCTGCCTCAGTTTCCAAATAACTGAAGGTTCCAGATGTGTCCCAGTGTGCACTGGTGCATCTTAGGATCTTATCTTGAGTATAATGCTGCGCAGGGTAGGGAATGCTAGTACATGCGAACCTGCTGGCTACAGCTGCTGCTTTTAGCGCCACGCCTGGCGTTTCCTCAGTAGGAATGACTGACTGTCACCGGCCTTATCTTACTTAGATCAAGCTAGTGAAGAAAAAAAGCGACTTGAGGAAAAACAAAGAGCAGCTCGAAAAAACAGGTCCAAATCAGAAGAGGACTGGAAGACAAGGTGCGTGCCCTCCTGACTAGACAGCGTGAGCCACTCATGCTCAGACCTGACAGGGTGTTATCCCCAAGAGTTGCACTCATGACAAGAGAAGTTTTTAAAAGTGACAGTGTTATTACACAGTTGTTACAGGTGACAGCCGTTAAGCAAATTTATCTTTCTTTCCTTATTCAATATTCCTTCCATATTGAAAAGGGGAAGGTTTGGGCATATAAGTACATTCATTTGCTCATGTCTCTGAGTAAATTATAGGATCATTCATGTGTGCATATATCATTAATTTAAGTTGTGCCTTTTCCAAACACGGGTTAAAAACAGAATGGAATTAGAGTTTAGGGAAAATGTTTTGGGCAGTATCAAATATCTGACATTAGAATGGTCTGGGAGTTACTTAGTAGTCATTTGTTTTATTAATGAGTCACTTGTAAGTCGCTTGCAAGGTGCAAGTATCACTTGTGTTATTAAGAAGTTGATCGTTCCATGATTCAATTTTATGTGAATGTTAAAGTCAACATGGGCATAATTTTGCAAGCTTTCTAGTAGACATGTCATTTCGCATCTTTCAAAAAGATAGACCAAGAAATGCTCTTACAGCATCTACCCCAATAGGTGTTTTGGATTTATTCACATAATAGTTTTTGCAAACGAACTTGTAAAGGATGTGCAGGCTGAAAGCCCAGGCAGACAACTGCTGTGGTTGTGAGAAGGGGCAGGACCTGGGCCACTCCTCCCCTTCTTCCTGCCTGCAGGCCCTCCAGGCCCTAAGCTCTGAGACACAGTGTAAAAGCTGCTCCGGGGTACTGGATTGCTGACCGCAGAATACCTGTCTTAGTGCTACAGTTTTTGAGACAGGGAAATGACTCAGGCAGCTCATTTGCTAATTAGGACAGGCTAAAATGTTGAAAGCTAGATATAGCCCAAGAATCTACATTAAGACCCAGTAAAATTTGGCCTGGATTCATCTGGTATAGATGAGGAAAATCTTAGCCTTTGAACTCAAGCCTGCTTGCTGCCATTGACAGTTTGGGTGACCAGCAGCTGTGTAACTTTCTTTCAGCTCACCTGTAAAATGGAGCTCTTGAATTTGGAGGGTACATATAAACCCTGCAGGCACTGTACATACTCCTGCTGTAGGTTCCCTTATGCTAATTACTTGTTCCTGGTGCCATCACAGAATGCCACCTCATGATTACAAGTAGGACAGATCCCATGTATACTCATTGCTATGGATCATAGCTACCTTTGACCTTTTGAAATAGTGTTCTCTGACTAGAAAAACTATGACACACAGAGCCAACTACTATAAGCTAATTAAGCACCAGTATCCTGTGATTTTTTTGAGTCATTTGCTCTCTAAGTTTTGTGTTTTCTTGTTGAACAGGTGGTTCCATCAAGGTCCTAATCCCTACAATGGAGCACAGGACTGGATTTACTCTGGCAGCTACTGGGACAGAAACTACTTCAATTTGCCCGATATTTATTAAAGTGCAGAGAAGTCAAGGTGTTTGGCTAATCTAAATAAGTCTTAAGCTTAAGTTTTTAAATTTTTCCCCTTGGTTTCTACTCTAATTTGCACTTCACCCTCCAAGGCAGGGCATGTGGTCAAACTGGTGAAGGTCTTCGAAAACTGAGACAGTTTGCTCCACAGCTGCTTTCTTGGCGCACTGCTCATGGAAAGTGAGAAGCAGTTGGGGGTGCTCTTTCTACCCCTACATTGCTGCAGCCTGAAACCTACTATAATATTCAGCTTTATGGAATTCTACAGTGATCCAAAAATCAAGTTATTTTGAATATTTTTATGCTATAATGCTTGAGATTTTAGGTATAGCTTTGAAATGTTTAGAATTCTTCTGTACAATGTTATGAGCTCAAATATAGAGGTTGTTGTTTTACAAAAACTTTAGGGAAATTAGTCTGTTTTACTTTCCCATCTCGGGGGGGGGGGGTAGGGGCAGAATCAGGAATTCCTGATTTGAAAACTCTAAACTGGAAAAGGTATTTACTTATCTTAGTGCTCTAAATTTACTTTCATATCCTGTGATCACCGTCATTAGAATTTACAGGGTTAAAATGTATGTTTGAATTGAAAATCACAAAAATACCCTAGAAGTAGATTTTACTCAACACTGTTACCTAATGACATTAAGCTGCACTCATGTATTATAATCTATGAATGGCAGGGTCTTGGAGACATACTGTGCAGTAGTTCTGCCCCGTTAATTGGGGTAATCTCATAGTATTATCCACCCAAACTCCAGACTGAGATTCTTGCCCTAAAGGGCCTTAGGTAGCTTCCAGTAAGTTATGTTAATTGTCTTGAAGTTAACAAGTGTTATAACGATGCTAAATAAAGGCTTTAGATTAAAAAAAAAAAAAAAAACAAAAAACGTGTGAATGCTTTTAGACTTTCACCTAACACTATCTTTAATTATCAACAGTGTCCCCAGGGCCATAATATGAAGTGGGCAGTTAGAGTGAGGGACAATGTTAAGGAAGTTTGTATACCTGCTAAGTTACTAAAACAACAATGCAAAGTTTTATGCTTGCAGGAAGTTTATTGATACAGTTCACGTGGTGACAGACTCCACCTCGAATGCTGAATCAAACAGCATCATTTTCAGCATCTGTTAATGAAGAGACATTGAACTGTTTAAATATCATGATGAGTGAAATCTGATCTACATTCTTGCTGTTGGCATTTCCTGCTGAGGCCAGCTTTTGACAACACAAGGTTGCTGTGATTAAATTCGCGGCCACACAACTGAAATGCCACCGTCAGCGCCCAGAATCACAGTGGCTTTAGTGTTGGGCAGAAGCAGGAAGCCTCATGCCTGGCAGCCCTTCACTTACAGTGGTGTCTCCACATGTTCTACTCACCCCACTGCCCACACTGAAGGGAAAGCCCAACTGAATAAAAAAACTGAGTGATAGAAAGCCCAATTGAATAAAATTTTGATAAAAGTTCAGTTGTTACTGAGGTCTGTGTGTTTAATTTCTTAAATGGACATGCAGTTAGTAAAATTCCAGTTGTTACTCAGCTCCTCTGTTTAACCTCTTAGTGGACATATAGGCAGTGTCTCATCTCTGTTTAAAATTATTTTAAAGAATCTACCATATGCCTGCAGTTTAACCATCCCAACCTCTAAGGGCTCAAGTATGTACACCCACATGTCATGGTAGGAAGGGTTACCTACTCTTTTAAGGTTCTGCTCTGCGGACATGGGCAGTAGTCACAGTAATTTCGCCAGCAATACCATAACTTCCAAAGGGAGTACGTTTGTCACCAGATCCTGAACTCTTTTTAGCTACATCTTCTACTGGGAAAGCAACAGAAAGAAAGACTGGGCTTTGCGGTCTGGGGCCATCTTGTCCACTTGTAGGAGGACTAGCATTCTGGGGGTTTGGGGCAGGTCTCTGGAATGTCTGATCTGCAGGAACAGCAATGGGCACTTGTACTGCAGCATATCTCTTCAAGGCATCTGACTGGGACACAACAGCATGCCCAGGAACAGGTTTCCAGTCCTGCGCTTCCTGAACACTTGAGCCTACTAATATGAAAGGTGGGGCATTGGTCTTCTTGCTGTCATCCATCATCACATAAGTTGGAGAGGTGACTTTCGGTGGATTCTGCAGAAACTGTGGATCCTTAGGATTAGGTAAATAGAGGGTTGCTTGGGGAAAAGGCCCCGGTGCAGGTGGCGGTGATGGGCGACTTTGTTGATTCATATCAGTTAGACAATAAAGTGTCCACATGTTAGAATATGGTGGTGGTTGTCCTGCTTCGCTTGTTGCTAGTGCTATAAAAAAAAAAAAAATTGCAGGCGTTAAAGGTTTGGTCTCTGTACCAGGCACTATGCACAGTCATATTTTTTTTAATCTTTTTTTTTTAAAAAAAAAACATATAAATAAGCAACTGTAGTAGTATGTGCCATAAAGCATGCTATAGAGAGGACTACGGAAATTGTGCCTGGTAATGTGAAGAAACAGAATGATTCAGAACAGTTGGAAAAGGAGTTGGTGGCAGTGGCAGGGACAGTATGGTTACGGCTAAAGAAACAATTGTATTCTCAGTTGCTGTCCCAGACTCGTAACCCTGTTTGTGGTTCTCTGAGGCACGCTATCACTGTGAGCCAGGCTGCCCATCAACTCCTGTGTCAGTGCCCCGAGAGCTAGAATTACTGCCATGCCTTCCAGACTCTTGAACTTTACATAGGCTTCCATGCCACACTCAGAGGAAAGCCAACAAAAACTTTGTTCTTTACCAAATAAACACCAGCCATGGGGAGCTGTGATAAAATCCTCTTAGTACAGCTGCATAGCAGTTTCTCCCCCTAAAGTTACACACTAGATGTCACCTAATGTCCCTGGTCTTTGATAGGCACCATCGTCTCCCATCTCCAGCCTGTTACTGTATCTAGGATTCAGAATCCCAGAGAGCACTCCCTTTAGCTACTCCTTTTAGCCAAGGCTAGACCACCATGTGCCTCAGAAGACAGCAAGAAGCTGGTGGGCACTTTAATACAGGAGGCTAGAAAAGCCATCCATCAGCTTACAGCAAGGGCATCTATAGTACTGAAGACGGGTATGCACATGTGCCAAGTTCATATTTTGAACTCTAGGCCATCCACTTCAGGGACACCCTTTCTGTCTTCACAGAAAATTACGCACAGATTATGTGACAAGAGAATTTAGTCTATCTTCAGGCTTACTAAAAATACACTCTAAATCTTGTGTCTTTCCAAATGGGAGAGTGTCTTGGTAAGTTTCCACTAGTGTGAAGGCCAGCTGTCCTTCAGTAACAGCTAAGCGCCTGAAAACAGTGACTTGGCCAGAAGTGCTGCTCAAGCCCCAAGGATGGACCAGCCGCACAGGAGCAGCACTGTCCTCTGCCTTTCCAGCTGCACTGACTGAATCTGTCACACTGCCAGTCAGAATTTGGTTGCTTAACACCTGCTTTGATAACCTTCCTGGTTTATTCTGGTCTGAGTCAGAGTTGAGAGTCTCTGCAACAGGAATGGGAGGCTTCTTTCATACATGTCCTCTCAGACACCCAGGAGAGAAGGGCACTGCCATATCCAGCTAACCAAAGGGTCAGCAGAGCAGGTGCCATAATTAGATGGAGAAGGTGGTTTTAACTCATAGATCAGGAGGAAAAAAAGCTGGAGGTTAAGCAGCCAAGAAAACAGCCTGGCTGTTCCGGTAAACCACCAAGCCCGTGACCTGCATCTGCAGCGTTATCTCCGCTGGTTTCCTGTGTCACAGAAGCACCAGCGAACCTGTCCTCTCTCCATCCCGCTATGGCGCCGCTCCCTCAGCTGCAGAAAGCCCCAAGTAGCAAGCGGTGTCTGAGCCAGCACCCAAGCCTGATTGCACAGTTCTCCTGACTCAGTGCGAAAGCAGTCAGCCACACCACCATTTCTTTCATGTTTAAATGCCACAGCCCAAATAAATGCAGTGTTCATGTTTATGGGATGTCCCTTTGAAGTTTTTCATTTTGTAAACAGGCATAAAACCTGACATATTCTCATGTTTACAATCATGCAAAAATGAATCAAGCTTTGACAATGCCATGTGAGTTCCACAGTGGTAAGATTTTAAGTACAACAAAGCCTTTAAGTAGGTTTGGCATTTAAAATTGACAGAGCAAACCTGGATGGAACTGAATACAGATGTTACCTGAGGCACAGTATGTGAATGTGCAAGTATCAGTTTTCTTACCTGGCTTCATCAAACCTGTTCAGGTGCAGCTTTCCCCATCTGGTTGGATTTCAGGTTCAGTAAAGCCTCCTGGCGCAGGAGGGAAAGGGTCACCAGGTGAATGGGGTGCAGAGTTCTCCCCTGACGCCTCCTGGCCAGGATCATCAGGGCCTACGGTAACGATCTCCGTCTCGAGGTGCACAGCATTTTCAGAGGATATTCTCATAAATTCCTCTGCATCCGGGGGTTCTGCAGGCACCTCGGGCTGACCAGCTAAAGCATTGTTAGAGAGCAGAACGGTAGCTTCTGCCTCCAGGTTTACTGAGGACTCGTGTTGGGCATTCTCCACCTGTACAACTTTCAGAGACTCTATAGATATGCCTGAGGAAGTCTTGTGTTTTACAGGTTTGGGACTAAGTGGTGGTGACTGCTCAATTTCATTAAGACAAGCAACTTGGTCAGGAAAAGGGATAAATATGTATCCCGGTATCTGCTCAACATAGACAACTCCTTCATTAACAGGCACATCGTTATATATGGATGATATGCGACAGGCTGATGTAACCTGAGTGTCAGGAGCTTCATAAGCAGGAGGTTCTTGTTCACCCTGCAAGGGGGCTGAGGAAGCCTTTGGTGGTTCAGCCTTAGAATTAGTACTCACAACTACCTGCGCAGATGTTTGGCTCAGAACCTGCACTTCTAACAGCTCTCCAGAACACACCACAGGGGCAGACACCACGATTTCTTCAGCAAACTCTGCACTCAGTACATCCCGGTTAACAGTAGTCATACTTGTTGCCACGTCCACCATTAAAACTTCAGAATGAGTAGGTGGAACATTACCTAACATCTGCGCGGCAAACTGAGCTGGGTCAGCCGGGACATAGGCATACTCTGCAGAGACAGGTGCTGGAGGCGGTGAGGAGGGGGGCGTGGTGGTCTTAGGCGTGGTTGGTTTGGAAGAAGGACCCCAAACTCCTTCACTTGTCTCATCAGACATAACTTCAGCATGAACTGATGGAAACTGGGTGGTTTTGTTGCTAAATAGTGGTCCAGCAACATTGTCTTCCTCTGTATCTGTGGATTTTTCCATCCGTGTAGGTTCGCAGGGAACTGGAGGTGTTTTTCCCCGTTCTTTGACACACTCTTTTTTCTCCAGCGTCACTCCTTCTGCCCATTTCTCTACTAAAAGCAATAACCAGGTGAATTAATCAGCAGGCACGCCTCAAAATGTTTTAAAGCAACAGTACACTGAATCACTGTATACAGCATTCAAGTACCATATACATGGATCTATATTCAACATGTGTGAGATAGTGTAGCCAATGAACCTGTAACAGCGAAGATACATCCACCTAAGCCAATTCACATTTTTAGGAATAAACGAGCAGCATATATTATAGTGGCTAAACTATAATATCACTCTAAGATGTTCAGCAGCAAAAGCATACTTCAGTTTTTACAAACCACCTGGGTCCATAGTCACAGGAAAAAAAAACAAAAACAAAAACAAAAACAAAAAACAAAAGGCAGGGAAGCCCCTGAGGAGACGCCCAGCAGATAAAGTACTTATATTGCAAGCATGCAGTGGAGAAGCAGGGAGGTAGCCAACCTGAGAGTGACCTCGTTGGGATTTGGCAAGCTCCGGATCCAGCAAGAGGCTGTGCCTCAATAAATGAGTGGCATGTGACCAGTGTCAGTTTTGGGTCTCCACGTGCACCCATACCCACGAATGCAGTCATACCACACAAAAACAAACCAAAAATGAGCAAAGGAAATAAAATTTACTAGTGTGGGAAGTAAATTATTCCACATTTTTAGCTGGTGTCACAGCTTGGGGCACAAATGCATTCCTTTGATTTAAGAAAATCAGTATGCAAAGTTTAACAAGGAATTGGTCATCTGTGGAACAACAGTTTTTCACATTAGAAAATAATTATTCTAACTTGAAAATGCTCATATTTGCTGGTGAGGTGTGATCATGCAGCCAAAAATCCTACTGTCCCAGATAAAAAGAAAAGAGGAACTCCTGGGTCCAAGAGTATAGCCATTGAGTGTTCAAGCCTGAACATGACTTACAGAATGCCCTGGACGACCTGCTTTGAAGGTCAATTCCCACACCTTCCTGCCTGCCATGGCTGTTCCTCACTGAGATTTCACACCTGATTACTGAGGATTTTCTTTGCAAAGTACAAAGTCTCTGGGGAAAGTGGATCTTGGTCTTATGGGAAGACTTTGCTTCATGTCAAAGGTTTGGAAATCTATATAT